GTGCTCATTTTACTCAGGAGTGGAGAGTACCCGCTCTCAGGCCAAATCAGCCCCTGGAAGTCAATTTCAGTACTTGACAGGACTGTCTGGGACGTGTGGCAGCTGCCCAAAGCTCATCTTCCTGTACTGATCATTTTATATGGGCCTCAAATGATCCTAGAGATACCAGGTGGCCGTCAGAAGTGAAAAGGTTTGCTGCCTCCTTCAGGACACAGGCCAACGTCATGTTGTGCCGCCACACGTAGGTCTACTTGCAAGGCTTTTTCGTTACTCGAAAGCAAATCCCGGACCTATGAAACAGTTACAAGCTCCCTTTCCCAACCCCAGATTATCACTTACCTCCTTTCAAGGACTTGCTTGTTCTGGAGGTTTCCTATGGTTTTTTGTTTTATTTTGTTTTGGTCGGTCATGGGTTTGAACTCTGAGCCTGGGCACTGTCCCTCAGCTCTTCAGCTCAAGGCCAGCGCTCTACCACTTGAGCCGCAGCACCACTTCCGGTTTTCTGGTGGTTCATTGGCGATCACAGTCTCACAGGCTTTCCTGCCCAGGCTGGCTTTGAACTGTAATCCTCAGATCTCAGCCTTCTGAGTAGGTAGGATTACAGACGTGAGGCACTGGTGCCCAGCTGGCTTTCCTGTGTTTGACATCTTTCCCTTGATTCCGTGTTTTTGAGGCTCATCCATGTTTCCAGTATATGATCCCTTTTCATGGCTGAATAGTATTCTGGTGTTATACCCCCATCAATCAGCAGACATGGAGTCCTTTCCACCTGTGGTAACTGATGCTGCTAGGAACCTTGTGTGCAAGTTCCTGTCTTCACTTCCTTGAGGCCATATAAAACTAGGAGCGGAGCCCCTCTTCCGTGAGAGGGGAGTGGAGTAGGAAGGCACACCTTGCTCTTGGCTGGTCTTGGGAAGGCCAGCTGAGCACGGATGCTCACCCCGTTGCCTCATGGCCAGTCCTGCGAAGGGCCTCGCCCTGTCCCTCGGGCTGGCCTGGGAGGCCTGTCCCCGCATCAGCCGGCCTCCAACCCTCCTGTTGGCATAAAGTTGAGTGTGAATGTTTACGTCCTGCCGTATGCTAGAGCTGGGCCTGCGCGGGTTTCATAAACCGTAGAGATTTTCAGCTCTGATACTTCATTATATTTCAGGTTACATGAGGTCTCCCGGCTTGGGGTGATGGTGATAAGCCGGGATTGGGGCCAGGGGACTGGGGTGTCCGCTGGTGGCTGCGTGGTGGAGGACGAGGGAGGAAGCGATTAGTGTTCCTGTTTAACAATGAGGATTTTTGTTTCTCTCTTCCGGAATTTCTTCCACTTTAATCTCCAGGATGGAAGAGAAGGTTTTCAGTGATACATTGTATGCACACGCCCAAGGCAGCAAACCCCCCCCCCCCCCCCACCACCACCACCACCACACACATACACTGTGCGCATGCTCAGGACATAAACCTGCCTCTTCCTATGGAAGCCCTTCTCAGCCCCAGCCAACCCATTACAACCACCCAACAGACTTTTGTTTTGGTTTGTTTTTTGCCAGTCCTGGGGCTTGAACTCAGGGCCTGGGCACTGTCCCTGAGCTTCTTTTGCTCAAGGCTAGTGCTCTACCACTTGAGCCACAGCACCACTTCTGGCTTTTCCTGGTTATGTGGTATGAGGAATCGCACCCAGGGCTTCATGCATGCTAGGCAAGCACTCTACCACTAAGCCACCTTCCCATCCCCTGATTTGTTGTTGGTTTGTTTTTGTCTTTGTCTTTTCTTTTTGCTACTAGGGATCGAATCCAGGATGCTGTACTTGCTAGGCAAACGCTTTGCCACTGAGCTACATCCCAGCCTCCCACCCAGCAAGCTTTAAGTGCTTTTTAACAGCACTGTGGTGGAGTCCAGTGTTTGTGTTTTTGTTTTTTGCTTCCTGCCAGTACTGGGGCTTGAACTGGAGGCCAGGGCAGTCTCTCATAGCCTTTCCACTCAAGGCGTGCTCTACCATTTGAGTCATGCCTCCACTTGTAGCTTTTTTTTTTCTTGCCATTTTTCTTCCTCTCCCCTGCCTCTTTCTTTTTTCTTTCTTTCTTTTTAATCTCCACATATTACGGTGACTGACATGGGGGTTATCCCTCATGCTTCATTTGGTCCTGCATCCCATTTCACGAGCCCCCGTGGTTCATATCCCATGTCCCTCCCTTTCCTGTCTGCTTGCAAAGAGGGAAGATTTACCAGATGTACACATCAGACATCCTGGTCTGTTCCAGGGAACTTAAGGGTTTTATAAAACAGCAACAACTTGTACGGTTTTAATGCCACAGTGACTGGAGCTTAGGGTTAAACCAGTGTGATCCTAAAAGCCTCCTTCCACAGCTAGAGAATGCCATCATCTTTCCAGCCACAGGACCTTTGCACAGGCTATCCATTGTACCTGCAGCACTATATCTCTATATCCTTTACCTCCTGCCCTTTCTACTTTGTTTCTCAGGGCTCAGGTTGAAGACAAACTGCTTAGGGAAGTACCCCTGACCCTTTTCCCATGCTAGTCTACCACTATATGCAGTGATCACAGTGCATTAGAACACCACGATTATAGTTAGTTCTAAGTTTTAGTCAGCTTCCCCTACCAGACTATAAGCTCTGTGAACGCAGGGAGCATGTGGATCTCACATGACCCTTGAGTGCTTTAGAGTCTTGTACTAGATATGGGCATAGACAACCAACCGACTTTGGATGGATCAGTGCACGGATGGGTGGATGAATGAATGGATGGATGGATGATAGATTGTTGGATGGGTGGGTGACAGATGAATGGTGGTTGGTGAATGGATGGATGGATGCATGATGGATGGATGGATGCATGCATGCATGCATGCATGATGGATTGTTGGTGGATGGATGGATGGATGGATGGATGGATGGATGGTGGATTGTTGGTAGATGTATGTATGTATGTATGGATAGATGGATGGATGGTAGGTGGACAAATGGATGGATGGATAGATGGATGGAGCTAGTTAATTTCATTACCTTTCCCTGAACTCCAGCCAGTAGTCTCTCATTAGCGGGAAAAGGGCATTGGAATTATCTGTGGCTTGTGTGGCTAGAGCATCTTATGGAGCTTGAGAGGAACCCATCTGTAGAAACCTTCTCTGGCCCCACACCTGATGCACAGCGGACGGTGTGGTTGTCCGAGTGTAACCCCTGCCCTGCTGACGAGTATTGCGTGGACTCCACCGCTGCAGGCTGGAGAGCTGGTCTCACTGGCTCAGGGTCAGGGCTGCACATGGGTTCCTGGGAACTGTGTGCCCTCCCTCATTCCCTCTTCCCCCATGCCTCAGGATGCCAGAAGATGGACAGTTCACCCCACAACAATCAGAAATACCAACACACAATCTACCACTTATAAACACGCCTCAAAGCTAGGTGCCGGTGGCTCACATCTGTAATCCTAGCTACTCAGGAGGCTGAGATCTGAGGATGGCGGTTCAGAGCCAGCTTGAGCAGGAAAGTCCATGAGACTCCTGTCTTCAGTTAACCCTCAGAAATCCAGAAGTGGCGCTGTGGTTCAAAGTAGTAGAGCACTAGCCTTGAGCAAAAGAGCTCAGGGAGAGCACTCAGACCCTGAGTTCAAGCCCCAACAAACAACAACAACAAAATTTTAAAAAATAATAATAAAATAAAAATGTGTCTATTTAACCTTCTGTTGTATAAGAATGTTTGGATGTGCTTATTCCCGGAATCTCAAACTCCCCAAACTGCAGATAATTTATCATCTGAAGTCCAGCGTGAGACCGTTTGTGTTTATATTTGCATTAGAAAGAAAACAAAACCTTAGAAAAAAAGGTTTTCTTCTGCGGGTTCTCTTCTACTACCATTTAAAATATTAACAGGTGCCAGAGCTCATGCCTGTAATCCTAGCCACTCAAGATCTAGGTATGACAGTTCAAAGCCAGCCTGGGCAGGAAAGTCCATGAGACTCTTAGCTTCAATTAACTGCCAGAAAACTGGAAGTGACGCTGTGGCCCACAGTGGTAGAGCACTAGCGTTGGGTGAAAGAGCTCAGGGAATGCACCCAAGCCACAAGTTCAAACCCCAGTAATGGCACAAAAAGAAATAAAATAAGAAAGAGAAGCTGAGAGATGACAGCAAGGAGCACTTTCTCTTGCACATTCAGATGGATGACTAGAATGTTCCCTCAGCCTTCAGGCAGTTGATAGAGGGTGACTTTTTCTTTTTTTAAACTGGCTTTTGCAGACAAAAGATTTCAGAGTACTTTTTAAATTTGTTTGCACAGTATTAACCAGTGGGGAGGGGCGCCTTCTCCACCTTGCCAAAGGATTTATTTTCAGTCTGCTTTAAGAGACAACTCCGTAACTCCGGGAAATGTTTCTTCTCTGATGATTTAGAAATCAGAAAAACAAAACAAAACCGGTCCTTCGTCACCTATTAAATGAGAAGTGGTGGGGGAGGGGGTTGTGCCACTTGTGAGGGGGACGATGCTCCCAGGTCCGGGCACGGCACGTTGGGTAGACCTGGGGAAATCATAGCACTTACCAAACTCCATTGCCCTGAGACCAGATTCTCCTTCCCTCTGTCGCTTTCTGTGTTTTTCTCTATTTCTCTGTGTGTCTCACGATCTCTATCTCTGTGTCTCTGTATCTGTCTCTGTGTCTCTACCACTTGAGCCACAGCATCACTTCTGGCTTTTTCTGCTTAGGTTTGGTGCTAAGGAATCAAACCCAGGGCCTCATGCATGCAAGGCAAGCGCTCTACCGCTGAGCCACCTTCCCAGCCCACCATGTAACTAACTCTTCTGAGCATTCTCATCCCTCATTTCCTGCAGAACATCCCCTGGGGTTTTAGAACTGCATCTACCGGTACCCCCGAGTCCAAAAGAGGGGTGATAGCATCCTGGGGAGCCCCTGGGCCTTTCTGGAGGTGCCCGCAGCCAGACTGTGCTGCTGCCTGAGGAGAGGCGATGAGGAAGTGACCTTTCCTTCTCCTTTTTCCTTCAGAGCCGGGTCTTCTCTTCCCGCCTGCCCTGCAGCATGAGAGCATGACCGGCCGGCGCAGGAGCCCCGCGCCCGGCCCCCGGCCCGCCGCCTGCCGCCCCGGCCACGGTGAGCTCCGCTTCCCTCCTACAGGCCGACCAGGCTTTCCTAATCAGTCCCTGGTCTTGTGCTGGGAGACTGGTGAGTGTGTGTGTGTGTGTGTGTGTGTGTGTGTGTGTGTGTGTGTGTGTGTGTGTGTGTGTGTTGGTCAGCTGGCACAGTGTGGTCTTTTTGGGGTGAGACTGGCAGGAAGGGCATGGAGTTGCATGGTTGGGGTGCATCCTGCATCCTCCCCCCCCTTCCCCAGACTCTGGGACCTTGGATGCATCTTGTGATCGCGTACGGATGAAGACTTTGGGCAGGATAGAATGGGAAAGGGTGCTGGGGGTGGCCTGGGAGGTCCAGTACATTGCCACACTGGCTCCTGGCCCATGCAAAGCCCATCGCTGAGCAGCAGTGGAGTTCTATAAGTTCTGCTTACTGATCTGGTACAGCACAGACCAGCCGCTCCAGCCCGCCTTCTGCTCCCCCTCCTCCCCTGAGAATGAACTCTGCCTGGGCCCTGCTCTGCTTTGTACAGAGCCCACTGGCTCTTCACGTGGGAAGGGCTTCATGGACCCCAGGTCTGTCCTGCCATGGCTGTGTCTCCTGCATTGTCCCAAGGAGATGAGGCATTTCCCTCCATTCTCCAGTGACTGTATCAGCATCCTTCAGGACAGGTGCTGTGCTGAGCTCCGGGGGTGAGGAAGATGGGGTCTCTGTCTTTTCTAAAGCTAAAGCGATTGGGTTCTTGGAGACTTTGGATTTTATAGGGAAAGACTTTGCTCTACAGCTTTCAACTTTGGTTTTCTATTTTTATTTTCTTTGTCAGTTGTGGGGCTTGAACTCTGGGCCTGGGCGCTGTCCCTAAGCTCTTCAGCTCAAGGCGAGTGCTCTACCACTTGAGCCACCGCTCTACTTCCAGTTTTCTGGTGGTTAATTGGAGATAAGATGTCAGGGACTTCCTTCCCTGGGCTGGCTTCAAACCTAGATCCTCAGATCTCAGCCTCTTGAGTAGCTAGGAATACAGGCATGAGCCAACAATGCCAGGCTGTGCTTGTTTTTAGGTGGTGCCATTATACCATGGCCTCAAGCATTGAGTCATTTGTTAAGAAGTTGGTTTTCAGTCCAGTTGCTTGTCCTGGGGTCAGATGCTCTCTTTAGCTACATTAAAAACTATTGTTTGCGGGTCTGGAGACGTGGCTTAAGAAGTAGTTCCCTTGCCTAACAAGTGCAAGGCCCTGAGTTCAATCCCCAGTACCACCACCCCTCCAAAAAGTATAACTAGTTCATATAATATATATGACATATATGTATGTAAATATAAACATTTAATATACAATATAAATATTTTTTCATTATTATTATGTGTCTAGATGTAAATTTCTGTCTTGGTTCTACTTGGGTTTATTGGGATTCCTAGAATTAAAGATTCGTGTCCTTCGACTCTTCTGGGATGTTCTCACCCTTGATTTCTTTGGGTATTATCACTTCCCCTTTCTCTCTTGTCTTTTGGAACCTCAGTTGACTCAGGTTAGAGCTACAGACAGTTGTTTCCATCTTTGATTCTCTAGGCTGAGATGTGGATAATTTCTTTCTTTCTTTTATTTTTTTGGGGGGGTCTGGTCGTGGGGCCTAAACTCTGGGCCTGGGCGCTGTCCCTCAGCTCTTCAGCTCAAGGCTAGCGCTCTACCACTTGAGCCATAGCGCCACTTCCGGCTTTCTTCTTTTTGCTTATGTGGTGCTGAGGAATTGAACCCAGGGCCTCAGGCATGCAAGGCAAGTGCTCTACCACTGAGCCACCTTCCCAGCCCGATGTGGATAATTTCTTCAAGTCTGTCTTCTGTGTAACTAATTGGTTCTGTGTCTTCAATGCTGTGTAATCCAGCCATTGAGCCCTTCCCCCGCCCCCCCCCCCCCCCCTTGGAGGAAGTGAACTTCCTTTATTGGTCATTTCTAGAAGTTCTGGTATATTATTTTTCAAATCGCCTTGGTGATATCTCTGTTCTCTGGTTTCTTGCTCATATTTGAAGAATTTTTTTTTTTTCATATGGATTAGCTCATTGGAAATTTTGTCCTCTCATGTCTGGATTTCAGTGTTGGTGTCTATGTGGATCTGGTCCTAGCTTCTGTGATTTCTGTTGACTGCTATTTAGTTCACTTTGTCAGCTGATGCTTCTTCTTGGACTGTGTGTGTGTGTGTGTGTGTGTGTGTGTGTGTGTGTGTGTGTGTGTGCGCGCGCGCGCGCGCGTGCGCGCGCGTGCGCACTGGTCTTGTGGCATGAACTCATGGCCTAGGTGCTATTCCTGGGGTTCTTCTTCACAGGACCTGCACTCTACCACTTGAGGCACAGCTCCACTTTTGGCCTTTTTAATTTTTTTTTTTAAGAGGTAGAGTCTCATGGACTTTCCTGCCTGGGCTGGCTTTCAACCTTGATCCTCAGATCTCAGCCTCCGGAGTAGCTGGGATGATAGGCGTGAACCACCAGCTCTCTGAACTTTATTTTGGGAATTATTTGAGCTGTGGATTGAAGTTGATTTTTCTAAATTCATTTGCATTTGCTTCTGGTAGTTCTGGGGGTTGAGAGACTAGTAACTGAAAATCAACTTGAATTTTTTTTTTTTCCTTTTTTGGTGCCGGAACTGGGGCTTGAACTCAGAGCCTGGGCACGTCCCTGAGCTTCTTTTGCTCAAGACTAATGTTCTACCACTTTAAGCCACAGCTCTACTTCCAGCTTTTAGTGGTTAATTGGAGATATGACTCTCACAGGACTTTCCTATTTAGGCTGACTTAGAGCCACGATCCTCAGATCTCAGCCTCCTGAGTAGCTAGGATGACAGGTGTGAGCTACTGGCCCTGGGCTTTGAATTCATTAATTATTTATTACTTTTCTGGCCATACAAGTAACACAATTCAGACTACAGACTATGCAATGTCCAGCTTATAGTTACAAATTTTCAGAGGAGATTTTCCCCTCACCTCCTCCCCCCCCCCACCCCCCCCCTCCCCCCTTCCTCCCTGCCAGCCTAAGGCCCAGGGAAAGTTCCCTTTCTATGGATCCTGTTCATTTCTTTGGTCAACCATGGATCCCTTGGGAGCCCTGCTTCCGGGTCTCCTCAGCTTTGAAGCCTCTGCAGCTCCCACTGGAAAATTCAAAATCTCAGATTCTGCAGAATCTGAGCAGGGCAGAAGCCAACCTCTCAATGTTCCTACTCTTAATTTGACTTTGGTTTTTGAGAAATCTGTTTGTGCCATTGCAATATAGTGATATCATTTTTGTTAGTGTGTGTGTGTGTGTGTGTGTGTGTGTGTGTGTGTGTATGTGTGTGTGTGTGATTGGGGATTGAACTCAGGGCTTGGGCTTGATAGTCATTCCCTCAGCCCTTTTTTGCTTTGTTTTTTTTTTTTCTTTTCAATAGGCCCTATTGGCTTTGGACTATAGTCCTCTTATTTCTGCCTCCCCAAATTGCTGGGATTACAGATCTGTGCTACCACACCCAGCTATCATCGTAAGATTTAAATGTTTTGCCAAGCATATCAGTTGTTTTAGAAAGACTTGAGAAAGTATTTGGTCTGCCATATGGCCAGAAAGTCGTGTTTCCTCTCCTACTACTCCTTCCCAGAAGACTGTACCCCAAGTTCCAGAGAAGATGTGCAACGGCCACTATCATAGGCTCAGCAGAGCGAACACTGGAGCACAGCATTTCCCTTTCCTCCCCCCTTTTCTCACCTTCCCTCTCCCCAAGGCAGCCGCTGACTGTTCGGGACATAGCTTTATGGTCACAAAGGATATTGGTTTCTAGCAGCATGCTTTAAATAGCTGGACAGCTTTGTCAGACTTGTTTATGGATCTGTGTTTATCTTCCTTGAGAGAGGAAATGGCTTCTCCTGTTTTGTGGCCTGGTCCACTGGTAGTCACGGCAGCAACTCGCTTTGTTCTCACTCTGCTGCGGGCTCCAGGCCCAAGCCAGCTCCTGTGTGCTACTCTAGACCCTCACTTCCTTACCTCCCATGCCGCCTCCCCTTCCCCATCTCCCCTGCCCTGTGCCCTTTCTTCCATACCCACCTTGTCCTTCCTGCCCTGGGCTTTTAGTTCCCACTGCAATGCCTTTCATGGAGAGCAACACACACACACACACACACACACACACACACACACACACACACACACACACACACACACACACACACACACACACACACACACACACACACACACACACACACACACACACACACACACACACACACACACACACACACGGGTTTTGGCTTTGGGGCTTAAGGAGCCAAAAGAGAAAGAGCTGAGTTCCACCGCAGCTGTGGGACTTTTCTCTGAGCCTCAGTTTCTCCATCGGTCACCTGGGGAGGGCACACAAAGCTGAGGTAGGGACACTGTTAGATGTAGAGCTGTGCCCTGGAACTTAGACAAGGTGATAAGCACTTGTCATCGTGTTCTTACGACTGAGAACAGATTTCCCCAAGGCCAGGGCCCCTGATGACGGGGCTTTCAAATAGACATGCTGTCTTATAAAATGGAGGCAAGAGTCCAGTAAGCGTGAGATGCCTAGCCTCCCTGCTGCATGCTTTGAATGAGGAACTTGGTACAGTGGCACATACCTGTAGTCCCAGCTGCTCTAGAGGCTGAGGTAGGAGGATCATTTGAACTCAGAAGTTCAAGGCTAGCGCCTGGGCGACACAATGAGATACTTCTCAAGAATGAACAATGAGATAAAAAGAAGCAATTGCAAACAGAACACAAGCTGGCCGTTGTTTGCAGAGGTTCTGGTGGGGCAGATCGTACTCCTTCTCTCCCCCCACCCCGCTTCTGCCTTGGACCCTGTGCAGGCCACAAAGAGGCTGCGCATGCCACTCACTCATGGTAGCGGTCTCCCTTGTGTGGTCCCCTAGTCGAGAGAGCACTGCTGCTCAGTGATACAGGCCCCTGCCGTGGCCAGGCGGGGCACAGGCTCATCAATGCTCATTGGCTTCTGTTCTTGTAGCTGCCGTGTAACAGTGCTTACCTCAC